CAGCAGATCCTTCGGTTCACAAAACACAGCCCCGCTCATCAGCTGGGTTTATATTCCCGGGTCCCGCAGCGGATTCATTAATGCAGGATCACCGGGCTTATCGTAATGTAACACGACGCCCAGTAGACCGGCAGTTCCTGATATCATCGCGGCTGTGGTGGAATTGCTGACGAAAAAAACAGACGATGCTGTATGTCGAAAGGTTCCAAAGATGTGTTGAGGGAGTCATACCAACAAAGGAACCAGACCGGGTCATGGGCTGCAAAGAGAGGATGGATGGATGGAAGGATGGATGGACAGATTGATGGGTGAATGGATTGTTGGATGAATGGATGGAAGAATACATGGGTCGTTGGATGAATGGATGGAATGAAAGATGGATTCTTGGATGAATGGATGGAAGGATACATGGGTTGTTGGATGAATGGACGGAATGAAGGATGGATTCTTGGATGAATGGGTGAAGGATGGATTATCGGATGAATGGAAGGAAGGATACATAGGTTGTTGGATGAATGGGTGGAATGAAGGATGGATTCTTGGATGAATGGGTGAAGGATGGATTATCGGATGAATGGATGGAAGGATACATGGGTTGTTGGATGAATGGACGGAATGAAGGATGGATTCTTGGATGAATGGGTGAAGGATGGATTATCGGATGAATGGAAGGAAGGATACATGGGTTGTTGGATGAATGGGTGGAATGAAGGATGGATTCTTGGATGAATGGAAGGAAGGATACATGGGTCGTTGGATGAATGGATGGAATGAAGGATGGATTCTTGGATGAATGGGTGAAGGATGGATTATCGGATGAATGGAAGGAAGGATACATGGGTTGTTGGACGAATGGGTGGAATGAAGGATGGATTCTTGGATGAATGGGTGAAGGATGGATTATCGATGAATGGAAGGAAGGATACATGGGTTGTTGGATGAATGGGTGGAATGAAGGATGGATTCTTGGATAAATGGATGGAATGAAGGATGGATTCTTGGATGAATGGATGGAAACATGGACAGTTGGATGCATGGATGCAAACATGGACTGTTGGATGTTTGGTAGGAAAAAAGGACGGATGGATTTTTGGATGAATGGATGGAATGAAGGATGGATTCTTGGATAAATGGATGGAATGAAGGATGGATTCTTGGATGAATGGATGGAATGAAGGATGGATTCTTGGATGAATGGGTGGAATGAAGGATGGATTCTTGGATAAATGGATGGAATGAAGGATGGATTCTTGGATGAATGGATGGAATGAAGGATGGATTCTTGGATGAATGGATGGAATGAGGATGGATTCTTGGATGAATGGATGGAAACATGGACAGTTGGATGCATGGATGCAAACATGGACTGTTGGATGTATGGTAGGAAAAAAGGACGGATGGATTTTGGATGAAGAAACGAATGGAAGGAGCAGAAGAAGAGTGTGGAGCCCGTGTGACCCTCTGAATGGAAGCAGAAAGATGACATCGTGCCTTATCCCTGCACATGCTGCACATTACGGCTGTTTACGGTCTCGTTGGCTCGGCCTGATTAACATTCTCCGTCGTGTTTGTTGTCTTCTGGAGCGGTTTGATTGGCACTCAGCGCCGCTGTTTGAAGTGAGCGTACAGCCTCGGCTTTGAAGCTCTGGGGGACGAAAGCAGGAGCATCCAGATATGACTGGAGGATAATCTAGAAATGAATTTTGGCTCGCCCCCCCCCGAAGGCGACCGATACGTTGCCGCTTGTTGATTAAATGTTGGTGGAGCGACGCAGCGACACAAGACAGAGATGGAAACTTCGGCCCACCAGGAAATAAGTTAAATGTGTTTGTCTAATGACAACAAGATGTTGGAGAAGCAGCAGAGAGGGAGACAGCTCCTCTTATTCATGAGCCGTGCTGTTTACAATCGGAACCATAATTAATGTGATTAATCACTGCTTCCCATCACGGCTGCCTTCAGCGTATCTTGAAAACATTCAATTCTCCGAAACTACGCTGCATTTAAACGCCACCAAAAACGCAGGGCGTTTGAAATAAAGCCAGCCGGCACCGTTTGAAGAATCAGCAGCCTGTCGAAGGTAAATCTCAGTAGAGTCAATAGTTTACAGACTAATCCATATTTAATATTCAATGTACTTAAACACACATGTTCAATATATAAATCCTCCCGGCAAGAGAGGAAAATATGTTTGGCTTTGACTTTTCTCTCCAAGTTAATCTTGTGAACTTAATGATTTGCATGTTAATCCGTTTGTGAGCAGAATGAGCTGCTTGGAGACACTTGACACACTATGACAACTATAAAGTTTCCAACATATACAGACGTACAGTTTATGACGCTGTTATGTTCACAGCTTGAGTTCATTCTGTGAATTAAAATAAAAGTACATCAGATTTTTGAAACAATCCTGGACTTTTTCTAATAATCTGAATGATTTAAGCTTTTCTTTCTAATTTTCTTTAATCATTTCATTTATTAAGATGAATACAGAATTTAAAAACTCATTAGATTATCTTATTTTAAAAAGCTCAAAATGCTCGTCAGCCAAAGTACAAATAGAGAGGAGCAGTTAAAGGGAGCTGCAGTTTATAGATGAGAGATCGGGTTTGAACGTGCGTCTCAGTCTGCAGACCTTTCATTCATCTTAAACCCTCCATCACGCCGCTGTGCACAGCTTTAGTCCACAGTCTGCAACACTGACACCTCGCGGCCTGAGCTGAGCAGTGCTTCTCTCATCTGAGGGTTCATCTGATCTCATGTTTCTATGCAAGCGGCGGCTCGGGCCCTGCAGGCTCTCCCTGCTCCACTTGCTGGGGGAGATAGAAAAGATGCTGCAGAGGTTCATACTTGAGTGTGATGGTTTGTGTAAGCGGCTGCACACACGTGTGATATTCAGGATGAAATAAGAGGTGAAGGAGGTGCGTGGTGGGTGAAGGAGGTGCAGGTTCTCAGAGTAGCTCCTCGCTGCCAGCTGCAGTGAAGGAAGCGCCTTCACGCAACCACACAGCCGGGTTTCTGAGAAGTCTCACACACACAGAAGTGCACAACGTCTCACACCTCGTCTTTGCCCTGCACAACCAGCAGGTCGAAGCTGCTTCATTCGAGGATGTACAAGCAGATCTTTGAGTAAAGTAAAATGAAGTGCGTCTGTCATAAAACACCACCTTTATCTTTAGGTGGACATATTTGTCTTGCGCAGTGATAACTTCAACATCATAAACATACACAATATGAATGTAAAAACATTGATATGTATGTTATCAACTACATTTGCTTTAAGATTGTTGTATTCATTTACATTGTGTTGCAGTGAAAACAGTGTGTCTCACATCTGGTATTTTTGGCACCAAATCTGTATTTAGTGCACAGCAGCTGACTGCGCACCACAAACATGTGTGAAGAATTGTTGAAAAGTCTTTGCAGCGGTGGCAGGCTGTGAATGACCTCCATCGGCCCGGCAGAGGTCATCTGTGCCCCCTCCCCATCCTCCAGATGTGATGAAACTGTTCCGGGACAGTTTGTGAACCGCGCGGCAGCGGCGACGTTCCCGATGAAGGTGCGGAAAGCTGCTCTCCGGTCAGCTGTTAACTGGACTTCTCTTTATCCGTGGGATGCTGCGGGAGGATCTGCGTGCCAGCTGGAGTGAACTGCGCATGCGTGAAGACAGACAGTGGAACCCGAAGAGGACAATGTAAAAAGCGAGATCATCATCTGTCCCGTTTCCGTGTGTCGTATGGCAGAGAAGGAATGGGAGAAAATGATAACCTTAAATATTGACCGTGAAATAATTTCAGTATACTTTGCTGGGCCTATATTTAGACTGTTTTTTGGGGCGTTAAAAGAAAATGTGAACCTGTCAGGCTAGATTTTTGGCGTAATGGAAGTTTAGTATATTAATACCAATCTCCCTAGTGCTAATACATGTCTAATTTAAGACTTTATGAAGAAACCCGGCATGGGATGTGCAGAATGATCTGTTTTATTTATTAGGATAAAAAAGAAAACATATATATAATGGAATTGGACAACCGTAACAATTTTTGATCGTAAATAAACTGATAACGTATTTGGTATGATGAATAGCCGCCTGCAAAGTAACTCTCGCTCTCAAATGTAGGGTATAAGTATAGTAGTATAGTAAGTATAATGTTGTATCAAATTAGTAAGCTACTTTACAGGACTGGGTCAGTGAGCGGAGTAGACCGCTACCCGAGTGCCTTTTCCCCGCCGATGCAGCGCTCGCCGAATGACCGAAATCTTGGCGTGAACCATCTTGGCGTTGGATTTGAATGTTGTATCTTTGGCGATGACGCGCCGCCGCCTCCTCCCCTGCCGCCTTGCGTGCCTCGTAACGAACGTGACGCCGCACCGCCTCCTCCCCTCGCTCTCCTCCCTTTGTACGAGTTTGACAAGTCCCTTCTCGACCAGGACAGGAACCCGCAGAGGTACGTTACGTGTGTGACGCCGAGATGCAACGCAGCTGAAGTTTATAATGCGTCTTTTCACTGCACTGTCGGCCGTTGAATGTGTTTGGACCAGAAGTCTAATGGCGCGCAGGGAGAAAGAGGCCCGCTGCTTTGCTTCAAGCTAACCGCTGTTAGCTCGGCGGATAATGTCTTTCGGCGCGGTCATTTGACCGGACAGGAGCCGGTGGCCGCCGGTTCTTTCAGCCAGCTAGAAAAAGAAGGAGCTCCGTTAACTCACCGTTGGGCCCGATCGCCGCTTCCCGTCAACTGGCCGCCACGGTCGCTCACAGGAGACGCTTGTCCGCTGTCCACCTTGGCTAGCTAGCTAGGTGCTGCTAGTCTGTTAGCTAGGCGAGGGCAGGGGGATGCTGCCCTCGCTGCCCCCGGAGCCGCCGCTCTCTCAGAGTCAAATGGGCCGCTGCTGGATTCTCTCCGATTCAAAGAGAGAAAATAGCGGTTTGATTTGCACGAACGGGACCGAGGTTACGGCTAGAGGTGATGCTGAAGGGCAGCGACGCGTGTGGCTTAAATGCTGCTAGCCTCGCCGTGCTGCAGGGTGTGTGCGCCCTCCGCTGTTCCACTTCGTTACGGTTCAGCTCCGTTCACCCCGGAAACCAGGACGCGTGCCGTCACATGTGCAGCTGTCATGGCCCAACGTCCTCTAAGGCCTCTGACATGTCTGCCTGCAGCCATGTGTGAAAGGTTGTGTTGGCATTAGTCCACTTCCTGTCCAAGTGCTTCCCTACGACCCCCCCACAGGCTGGACACGGGCCTCATGCTGGTGTTGCACTGGCTATTTAGGAGGCCTTACTTTGAGCGGCTTATAGTGGGTGCAGAGAAACATCTGGGGCCCAGAGGTGCAGGGGGATGCCATGCAGTGTTTGAGTGTCACAGCTGGAGACGCAAAGGGGGGAGACGCTGACGAGCAGTGAGGATGCTCACGGGATGAATAGGCTTAGGACTGAGATTTCCACTCAACTGCTAAACCGCTCAAATTCCTGTTCTATCTTCTATCAACACGCACATGTATGTTATCAACATGCGTGCGTAACGGCTGAAAAATAGAACCTATGATGAAATGGACAAGTGTTGCACAACAGGCTGGTCTGGAGAATGAAGGACAAAGAGGCTCACGCATGCTGTACATGAGCGCTGCCACTTGGCAAACAGTCCGCTTTGTGCGTCCCGTGTGTCCTTCTCATTGTGCGTCCTAAACTGGCCTTGTTTCCACACTCCGAAACAATGCCGGCGACGCTCTTGCTCTCAATTTACCGAAAGAAATGATCAGCGCCACCCGCGTGCGGGCGAGGTGTGAGAGTCGCTGTGTGTCAGCCAGCGACCTCGTAAGAATCACACCTTTCACATCCGTCGGTGACCTCCGGCAGCACCAGGGGCTCCTTGTCCTCCGTCGGCAGCACTTCACATCGAGTCCGTCAGTCTGCCTCTGGTTCCTGAAGCTGTAACACACACACAGAGGGAGAGCGAAGACGCCGCGTTTCATTTGCTTTCAGTCTCACCCGTGATTGTCCTGTTTCTCCTCATCCAGATCATGGCCGCTCCTCCCACTTACGTAGACCTTGGAAAGTCTGCCAAAGACGTCTTTACCAAGGGATACGGTGAGCACCGAGCAGAAGGCCGCGCCGGCTTATTTCATCTCCATTTCCACACAATCCTTTATGCTCTCGCTATAGAAACGGTTAACTTCATTCAGAGCTTTGCTGTGTGACTTTCTGCCTGGGCGTTAAGGAGATGTGTCATCATTACGATCTTTTTATTCAACGCCGTTTGTTTCAGGCTTCGGGGTCATCAAGCTGGACTTGAAAACAAAGTCAGAGAACGGACTGGTAAGTCGCCGCCGGTCATAATCAGATTACCGGAGCCGCCGGTCCAGATCATAGCTTAAGAGGCTCCTGGCAGACGGTCAGGTGGGCGGCTATCCGATCCCCTAAACGTCGCCAGTTCTGCTCACTGAAGCCAAACGGGTTTCCGTTTGTTGAATGAACCGGTCAGCTCGTGGATGTTTAATGCAGACACAGCGATACGTTAAATAATATGTGTGTATATAAACAATACCATGATTCCTATCTTTTTAACATTGTTACGTACCGGACTCTGATGCCACCAATGTCGCCGTCTGCAGGAGTTCACCAGCACCGGCTCCGCCAACACCGAGACCAGCAAGGTCGCCGGATCCCTGGAGACCAAGTACAAGTGTGCGGAGCACGGACTGACCTTCACCGAGAAGTGGAACACCGACAACACCCTGGGCACCGAGATCACCATCGAGGACCAGGTGGGTGAGGCGCTGTGGGCGGGGCCACGGCGAGGTCACATGTGTTTTTGGGGCTGCTACTGGCTGTGAGGCGTCAGAATCGACCTTTTACTGGTTCTCCCCCATCTCGCTTGTCCACTCCACAGTTGGCCAAGGGCCTGAAGCTGACGTTCGATTCCTCCTTCTCGCCAAACACCGGGTAAGAAGAGCTCCGCGAGACAGAGGACACGTGTGGTTCATTTAAGGGAGAAACATTCAAAACATGTTGTATTTAATCTGCTAATTCAGAACAGAAGTGGTGCTCGATTACAGGAAGTGACAAGTGTGACTCTCTCGAAGGAGCTCCGCTATTCACACAATTAGCTTCCAATTTAATTGAACATTCCTCTCTCCCGCCAGCAAGAAGAGCGGCAAGGTCAAGACGGCCTACAAGTGTGACCACATCAACCTCGGCTGCGACGTCAACTACGACATCAACGGCACGGCCATCCACGGGGCGGCCGTGGTGGGCTACGAGGGCTGGCTGGCCGGCTACCAGACCACCTTCGAGGCCGGAAGGAACCGGATCACCCAGAGCAACTTCGCCGTGGGCTTCAAGACGGACGAGTTCCAGCTGCACACCAACGTGTAAGAGCAGACGCCAGCACGCGCCCCGGGGGGGAGCGGCGTCGCTTTCGACGGTTTAAAACCTGGTGTTCGACACGACGCTTTGGTTTCTCTCGTCCTCGTCGGGTTAACTAGTCGCCCGTTTGGCCGTGAGCCACACGCGGTTATTTTTACACCTGGGTGATGGGATTTACAGGTGAGACTTGCGTGTGAGATAGTCGCGTTTCCCTCTGTGCCTCTCCCCCCTCTCCCCCCGGCTGAGCCCTTCTGCTTCAGTCTGCACGCGACGTGGTTCCGCAAGTATAATGTGGGCGTCACCTCGCCGACCTCCTGCTCTTTGACAGACATTCAGCGGGGGGGGGGGGGAGCCTCTGGGTCACCCGGCCTCTCATGTCGTTTACATGTGTATTGAAATCTGCTGCTTCAGAAACGACGGCACGGAGTTCGGCGGCTCCATCTACCAGAAGGTGAACGAGCAGCTGGAGACGGCCGTCAACCTGGCCTGGACCGCCGGGAACAGCAACACCCGCTTCGGCATCGCGGCCAAGTACCAGATTGATGCCGACGCGTCCTTCTCTGTGAGTAGCAGCCGTGGTCGCCGCCGCGATGTCGTCTGCTCGGATGGATTACTGAGTCCAAGCCGGGGACACGTGGGCCCTGAGAGTGTACGGAAAAGACTGTAATGTCCCATTAGTCCCTAAATCCCTCTGAGCCGAGCCGACGGGGGGCTGCTGAATGCTGCTGTGAGCATGTTGGTGACTCTTGGTTGGTTCTGGTTCAGGGCTTCGTGCCTTCGTGAGGCGGCGATGCGCGTTTCTTCTTTGTTTGATTCGTAATCGTTTTTTTTCCCCCTCACAGGCCAAGGTGAACAACTCCAGCCTGGTGGGCCTCGGCTACACTCAGACCCTGAAGCCAGGTGAGATCCTCTAAAACAGCGATTCCCAACGTGTGTCATTTACAATAAATAGATCAAATGTTTTTAATTTTCAATTTTGAAAAGTTTGAAATTAATATAAAACGATGTCAAACGGGGCGCCCTCTTGTAGTATTAAAGTAAATATATATGAGCTCCGGAAAAAATGGTACACAAAACATACATTGTCGGTTAATACATTTTTAATCGGTTAAATTCTTGAGGTAATTTAATCATCATAGTTTATGTTTTGATCAGAGTTGTGATTAAAGGTTTGGGTGGGCGGCATTCTTGAGTTTGGGCACCGCTGCTCTAAAACAACCACAAAGGATTAGGACGTGAACCTGGGTTCTAATTGAAATGTTCTAATGAGTAAATGGGAGACACTCTATGATCATAGCAGGTCTACCTTGCAGAGTTTGTGTGACTTTGTTTATTTAAAGCGAACCTGCACTGACTCTCAAACTAGTAATAATAATAACTAATAAATCCGGTCAATGTCTTTCCACGCAGGCATCAAGCTGACGCTCTCCGCTCTCCTCGACGGCAAGAACATCAACGCCGGCGGCCACAAGCTCGGCCTCGGCCTCGAGTTCCAGGCATAAGAGGGACGAGGCCAACGCCCGGCCCCCGGCCCCCCCCAAACCACCCAACACTCCCAACACTCCAGTCCTCCTGGCACACATGCATTCCCCACAAGAAAACTCCAAATCCTCAATTGATTGGCCCTCACCCCCCCCCCCTCCCCCACACACACACTCCTCTAGGAATACTACAGCTGGAGCACAGACAGAACCACTGTTAAGGGAACATTATATTTTGAAGCTTAAAGACTTCTGAACAAAACCTCAAACCGGTTCGACAGGAAGTCTGACCTCGAGTAGCGTAGCTCGCCACGGTGGGGGGGAGGGGGGTAGAGCGGCGCTGAGCGGGGTCACATGTCTCCTCACTACCGCGGCTGGGAGGGGGGAAAAGGGGGCGGGTGGAGGGGCGTTGTTCCACCACCAGATGGCGCCGTAGATCCCTCCTCGCTTAGTGTCTGTCCTGATGCGGGAGGGGTTAGTGGTCCCAGATGTTAGCAGCTGTCGTCAGCTCAAAGAGACACTACATCCCCCCCCCCCCCCCCCAGCTCTGTTATCGTCTCACTCGTTGTATTCTTTTTGTGTTTGTCTGTGCATTTGGTGTGAAAAGTTTTTTTTTTTGTTACACATAGTAAAACAAAAAAGAATCTGATTTTCTTGACAGACAGTAGTTTAATCCACATGTGAAGTCTTACGAAGGCGGAGAGCCGTCTGGTCGAGCAAAGGGAGAGGAGAGCTAATCATGCCCACCGTCACGGGAGGAGGAGAATACTACTGCTGGTGGTCCTCCACACATGCTTATGGGAGTCATGCAGAGACCTCGACAGTAGTCCTTCCCTGAATTAAATAAAGAGCATCTTGAACCAGCTTGATTGTTTCTGCTCTTTTGTCTGTTAATCGCCTGCGTCTCGTGACGACTCGATTTGGTTTGATGATGTAATTTCAACGGGATTTTTATTTAAAGTATATTATATTACAGATTACATTTTGTCATCTGTTCCTTGAATGTCTTTAAATGAAAAGCCTGGTAAAATTGAAAGATTTACAACAACATAATATTAAACTGGCAAATCTTGACATTTTCGCTGATTAAAGGCTCAACTTACATCCAATGAACTGATGCATTAATGCTTCAGCTGGAAGACGGCACAACGCTTGACATGGTGACCTCCTGACCTCCATCAGCTCCATGGGCCCTTTGTAAATGGGAGTAATTGTGTGTATTCGATCTGATTCATAATGACCCTGTTGTGTTTCGTCACAGCGATTGGCAGCGTGCACGATACAAAGGCCTTAATGTTACTTTTCACACCTGTGCGCGTTCTGCAAACCACGTCGTGTATCAGAATCCAGACAGATGAAAACACTATTCATATTTATAAAAATGGATGTCAATACAAATAGATGAAACCTTACAAGTTTCTCTCCCTGATTGCAACCGGTCTCGGAGCTCACGCACGCGCTTACCGTTCGCCCCCGCGCGTTCGCGTCGTGCCCACGCGGAAGCCACGCCTCTCCTGTGACGCAACAAACATGGCGACGTGCGGAAAGATGGTGCGAAGCAGGGGAAACGTTGGCGCTCTGTCGCTGCTTATTTGCCTCCAGGTGTTGACCGGCGGCGGCCGGTCGGTTCCGCTCGGCACCAACCCGACGGAAGGTACGTGGTCCCGAAGTGTCGCGGCTCGTATTTGTTTGTTTCCAACGGAAACCGAGCGCCCTGCTACGTAGCCAGAGTCCGCTAGCTGGTGCGCTAGCAGCTTATGCTAGCAGCCACGGTGTCAGGTGACGGTGACGGACCGGAAAAGTCTTTAAATATATATCGAATATATCTTTATAAAAGAGTCGTTATCGAACGGTTACGGTACAGTTGAAACAAAGTTGGGTTTAGTGTCAAATATTAAAGGGGCCGTGTGAGAGTCCGTTGGAATGACGTCAAACCGTAACGACGTCAGTTGGGCGTTAAATTCAGTGTGAAAAATGTTACATTTAACGTACAAACTTCAGTAACGAGGTTCTAAGTGGCTCGCGAGCTTTGGCCGTAGAAGGCAACACGGGAAACCGAAACAGGAAGTCACTTAAATGCGTACATGTCGAGCAGGCAGCAGGTAGACTGTCTGTCAGCACATCGGGGGTCTCCTCCCTTTGAGGGGACTTGTGGTGGACAGACGGGGGGGACATGCATGAAGTGTCCCCGTCGTATATCTGAGCTGGTAAGTAACCTTCTGTCAGCCCATCACAGGAAGAACCTGATCGAAGTTCACCATCAAAAGAAGTGGCGCCACAACACGAAAGCCCCCCCAACGGAAGCTTTGGCGTCGCATACGCGGCCTTTAAGTAGGTGCAGGTTCTGGCTGTAGATCTGCTGACACAAGGTCAGCGGGGTCGGTTTCTGCTTCCCGTATGACGCCGCTGGTCTCACACGCGTCGATTGTTGGGAGCAAACTAAATGTACTTGAATGAACCAATTCCAGAGGTTGTCTCTGGGCCTTTTGAGCTGCTTGTTTCATTATCACCTTTGTGTCCTGGAACCACATTAGTATCTGAATGGTGAGTTACATAAACTCTATTGGAATTGTCTCATGAAATCGGTCATATCATTTAATATATACCTAAAATGATATCTTCCATATGTGATATGGGTTTAATGGGAATAAAGCAGATGCGAGAAGAGTGGAGGAAGTTCTGAGTATAAGCTTGCGGTACTTAAATATTAGGACATTTGTCCAGCGTTACCGAGGCGCTCCGTGTTGAAGACTGACTTTCCTACATGCTGTTTCCGTGCGGCACAAAGATCTCATTATTCATGCTGGCCGGGGCCCATGTGTATGAATAGTTCCTTTCTTCTCTTGGGGACGTCTTACCCCCTGCTTCAAGTCCCAAGTGTTCTCTCCCGTCCCTCCCTAAGCAACGCCTCCTTGCTCACGCAGGATGGAATCATGTGGACAAACATGTTTGTCGACTGGTGTTTGAGGTGTGTGACTTCATTTCTCACTAAGCGCACAGATAGAAACTGTCCAACGTTCCGCGGTGCGTCGGGAAGAGAGTGATCAGTGAAGATGAAGAAAGTGCATATTTAGTTGATTTGCAAATGTTTCAAATTGATATTTTCAAGTGTTTCCAAGATAGTTTGGTCGACATAATGATTTGAATTTCCCCGCGTTGTTGTTCCCTCTCACCCGACAGCGCTCGCGTCTCAAAATCCAAACGTGACCCAGCAAAAACCACAAAACGAAGAGCCGCCATCCCAGTGGAGCCCAGCGAGCGCCACGCAGTCCGTGCCGCCTCCTGGCGATAACGCCACCAGGCCTGGCGTTGAGGCTCCTTCGGACGCCCCCACGGATCAAACAGGGCACCAGGCGCATCCGCTCAACACCATGGACACCTCGGATAGCACGACGGAGCAAGGACCCGTCTCCAACGGGGACCCGGTGACGCCCCCGGCTAAAAACCACACGGACATGGAGGAGGCGGCGGCGACGGCGGCTTCTGCTACTGCTGCTAAAGTCACTCCAGCTTCTCCGGACGCTCCCACCACACCCGTCGGGGTCGCCCAAACGGAAGGGTCGCAGACAACCGCCTCCGACTCCGCGGCCTTCACTGCTCCGAACCCGTCCACAGCGCTGCCTCGCAGCGATACGGAGAGTTACCATGGCGGCGAGGAGGATGGCGGCGACGAAGAGGACCCACGAACCTACGGCGGCGACGACGACGACGGCGACGATGGCGGCGACGACGTCTATGGAGCCGCCGACAACCCAAAGGAGGACAAGAAAGCCAAAGGGCCGGGCGCCGACAGGCCGGACACCGGGTCCCAGGAAGTGGACAGCTACAACATGGGAGGACGAGGACTCTCACTTCTTCTTCCACCTGGTCATCCTGGCTTTCCTGGTGGGCATTGTTTACATCAGCTATCACAACAAGAACAACGTGAGTGTGCCGTGACACAGCTGATGATGAGGACTCGGCACAAGTCCACTTTACATATTACTTCACCTTTTAAAACGGCTTTGTAAATCTGAGGGTTTGCTGCTTAAGTTAATGTTGTTTGGAAGGAAAATGGAGCCGTTTTATATCCAGAAGCTGAGATTTCCCCTTTGCTCCAGGCAGTGGGTTTATTTTGACAATATGCCAATCGGCTGAAGTTCTTTCTGCTCAAGCAGTAGAGCGGGTTTTGTATTATATATTACGCTGACCCCATGCTAATACAGACTTTTACAGCTGAAGTAAGGATTCCAATTACGTAGTCTTTCATCTTTTCTGCCGTTCCGTCCAGTAATATAATTTCCCTCGATCAGCACTCGCACATCTCTAGGATTAATTTCGATCTGCATCCCTCAGATCTTCCTCCTGGCTCAGAGCCGCCGCTGGAAGGACGGCCTGTGTTCCCGGAACACGGTGGAGTACCACCGCCTGGACCAGAACGTCCAGGAGGCCATGCCGTCCCTCAAGATGACCCGGGACTACGTGTTCTGATCGCTTCCTTCGCTCAGGACGTTTCTGCTTGTCTGCACAGAGGGATTTAGACCTTTTATCAGTTTGTTCTTATTTGTTATATCATTTTAATGTGGTTTGGTTCATATTGTTTATTAGAGTGTTCAGCCTTACGGTCTCTATACTGCAGTTTTAGGAACACGGGTCACATGCTGAGGCCATTTAAAGAAAGCAGGTACTGAATACTGTTGAGGTGTAAAAGAACTACTGTGTGTTCGTACCTCGCGTACTTCTACTGGCCGGACTTCGCTGTGCAGAAGCCCGGCGGCCGTCCTTTGTTCCATTATGACTTCGGTGAAGTTTCCCTCTCTCGCCTTCCTCTCAAATAACACACACATCTGCGCCTTCCTTGTTAATCTGCAGTTGTTCTGCCGTCCCGTGCGTGTGGTACGAGTCACGTGGAGGTTATTCTGATGACGTTACGGGTGGGGGGAGGAGCCTAAAGATGACTCATCGACTCTTTCGATCACCAGTAGAAACTGTACAATCTTCAATAAAGCACAACTTGTGTACAGAGTGCGACTTGTCTCCATCCTTGTGATCATCTGACCTCCTCGGCTGGTGATCTAAGAAACCATAAGCTCCTACATTTATACGCTATCAGCTAATAAGGCGCCGTTAGCGGCCAAAGCCTTTGCTGTGATGTTGAGATGAACCGACGCACCCGGTGTCCTGTTTCCCAGCATGCACTTTGACTGGACTATAAAACACACAGGTGTGTAATGTCACTAACGAGGGCGCGATACTCTTAAAGCTGTGTGTCAAAGTCGCCAGGCTGCGTCATTCAGCAGCATCAAGACATTAAGCTGCCGTAGCGTCGACACGTTCTGTAATATTTGAGTTAAAACAGCTTGTATCCTGCAAGAAAAAAGGGTCCTTGCATACAAGTTAATAAATGTGTCTGATGTTGTGGTTTTTAGTGACACCATTGGTGGAATCTCCTTTTCCTTAAGATTGCAATATTACTTTTAGCTGAAGGTAATTATAAATTAGTAAAGTATTACACATTAACAGATTTCATTTGAATTTAAAATAACCGGAAAATGTTCTTCTCTCAGCCTGAGATGCTCTGGAGGAGACGTGTATCTTCCTAAATGAAATAAGTTTATCTTCCTTATCTGTAATTTATACATTTTTGGGCTTTTAAGGCTTTTATTGTTAAGTGCAGCAGGTTGCTAAGCAACGGGAGCAGCGGAGGTAAAGTCCCCCGTAGGACAGACCGCCCCCCCTTCAGAGACCGCTCGGTTCAGCCTGTGCGGTTGTTGGAGGACCAGACCAGGTAGACCAGAAGGCTGCTGAAGGCTACAAGGATGCAGCCTAGCTACAGCTAGCTTAAGCGTCCCAGTTGGACATCTGCTGACTTCATCAGTTCCACACCTGTGGAAAGGACTGGAGGACACCGTCACCACCAGGAGGCACTGTGCCCACACGAACAGACACAGACTCCTGTGGAAACATTTAGCTTTTCCCAGTTAGACAAACCCCTCAGCGTAACAAAGGGGGTCTTCAGGGGATAAATGTGGAGGAGCACTGTGATGGCCACACTTCGGTTTCGATGATGTAATCATCTACATCAGCAGAAGCTCACCGGGTTCTTGTGCAGGTTTGATCGGCGAGTAAAGGTCTTGGTCTGGTTTCTCTGCCCGCTTCTCAAAAAGGATTTATGACTTTCTCAATTTCTCAACTTATATTTCATACTTTAAAATGGATGTGATATTGTGTAATTAGTTCTAACACATTCACACAAATAATAATCGCTAACAATCAATAATCACACAACGCTCCAACGCTAACGGGGACAGCTAACGAGGACAGCTAACGGGACAGCTAACGGGGACAACTAACGGGGACAGCTAACAGGACAGCTAACGAGGACAGCTAACGGGGACAACTAACGGGGACAGCTAACAGGACAGCTAACGAGGACAGCTAACGAGGACAGCTAACGGGGACAACTAACAGGACAGCTAACGGGGACTAACGGGACAGCTAACGGGGACAGCTAACGAGACAACTAACGGGGACAGCTAATGGGGACAACTAACGGGGACTAACGGGACAACTAACGGGGACAGCTAACGGGACAACTAACGGGGACAGCTAACGGGACAACTAACGGGGACAGCTAATGGGGACTAACGGGACCGCTAATGGGGACAACTAACGGGGACAGCTAACAGGACAGCTAACGGGGACTAACGGGACAGCTAACAGGACAGCTAACGGGGACTAACGGGACAGCTAACGGGACAAGTAACGGGGACACCTAATGGGGACAGCTAACGGGACAGCTAACAGGGACTAACAGGGACAGCTAACTGGGACTAACGGGGACAGCTAACTGGGACTAACGGGGACAGCTTTATGGGGACAGTTCACACATCTGGAGCACTTGGACCACCGGGGACCTTCGGACGGGTTTTGACCGATTCCACTAATAATTTCGGTATTCTCATCAGCTGATGATTTGGTGTGATGCCATCGAGCGTCAATGGGACAACAGGACGAATGATATTCTTCATTCTTCTAAACGTCAGACCTTTAAAGGAACGACCGTTAATAATCCTGTAATTTAAGTGAACGCTAATCACTAAAAGGTTTGTGTTTGAGGCGTTAGATAATGACGCCGACAGAAGATGAGCTAATTGTTATAAGTAATTATAGTAATATTATTACTCTGATATGTCATACAATTAAAATAATTTAATATAATAATATTTTATAGTATATTATTAAACAGAAATAAAATGTAAATAATAAAAATGTTTCAATAACCTACAACCTGCAGTAAACATTTAAACTAAAACTGTCGGTCTCCCAGTTTATATAAATTTAGAGAGTTAATTTCACTGATGAACTGATCACCACTCTGGTCTGTAGTTGGCAGGATGCTTCCCTCCTTACGCCTCTTTAAGTCCTCTTCACAATTTATTCTCACATTCTGCTTTATGCCTCTTTTTCTCGTCCTCTTCCTCCCTCACACGTCTCCTTTTCTGCTGGAAGACGTGATTCCATCCATCACACCAGACTCCCAAGTCTCGTTCCTTTGTAATCCTCTGACTGTGACTTCCTTGCTGTTTCACGACGCCGTCTTCCTCCTCCTCTCTCCGTCCTTCACGTGGTACCTCTCGTCTCCGTCTCCTCCTCCTCTCTCCGTCCTTCACGTTGTACCTCTCGTCTCCGTCTCCTCCTCCTCTCTCCGTCCTTCACGTTGTACCTCTCGTCTCCGTCTTCCTCCTCCTCTCTCCGTCCTTCACGTGGTACCTCTCGTCTCCGTCTCCGACTCTCTGCTGCTTTGATCTTCTCCTCCTGCCTCTGATGAGCAGCCTGCTCGCTGGGTGGAAGTGTGTATTTTTAGGCGTGTGTCTCCTTTGCGTTAACGGGGCCTCCCGTGTTCGGTACTTGTGAGCTTTGGGGGGAACGTTTTCATCCTGTTATCCTCTGGCTAAAACACATCTTTGCCCCGCGGGCTTTTCTTTTACACTGATCCCGGTTTTCTGACAGAAGAGTCAGCCGATGAGTTTTTGGTGAGGATTATTTTGCTGATTGAGATCGGACATGTTCTTCTATGATTAGCAGAATAGTTCATTGCCTCATACATATATTACACACATACATGTGTGTCAGAGCCCTGCAGACAGCAGGCGTTTCTGTACAGTTTGAAGGGACTTAATTAGTGAACAAACCGGACACGTAAAGTCAATTAAAGACGCGTCAACGCGTCTCATCGTTAACGCCGCTGTCGGTAAACGCGCGTCACTGTGGTGACAGGAAACGGCGTCGGAGATACTCAGGTGTATTTTAACACCTATGAATCAATTTGAAGTGCAATAACTATATTATAACTAATCTGTCGGTTTTAATTTCACTGAATTGAATGTGTTTTTTTGTATTTGCTGTTGCCATGGTAACATGTCCGTTAATTTGGTAAAGAATAGTATGGTGCGCAATAAAACTACCTATTAGTTCAATTTTAGAATGTTTTAAACACAACGTCTTATATAATGTGAAGGATTCAGGGGGATTTATTTCACTCCACAATCTACAACAATATTGATTTTGATGCATTGACCATCAAATCTGGGTTTCACCTTTTCATTCTTTGAAAAAAATTGTCAAAATATGTCGAAATATGTCATATATGTTATGCTATATATATTGCAGATTGAAAGTTATAATCTTTTAATTATATTTGGTTTCAAAATAGTAACATACGAGATGATTTTAATTGATAAACTGTCTGCCGCTACCAGTTTTAAAGGAATGGAGCTCTCCAGCGATCCATCTTAAAGCTGCATTAATGGATTTTTCGGGCCCTTTGGGGTCAGAGGGTTGTCTGTCTTTGACCTTAGAAAGCTGTTCTGCTGAATTACTTACTCACTTTATTAGCAGAGGTTCAGCATTCACCCTCCTCCAGCTCTTTCACGGTCTGCATCAGCTCAGGGATTATTCAGCTGCTCGGCTGCAGCGCTGGACTTTCCTCGCCAGCTAGTCGTTAATGTTTTGTGTCATTTGTTTGCTTTATTGCAGCCTTTATTACAAGCCCTCGCTGCATCGGCCAACGAGGCCGGGCTGAGAGCGCAGCCCATAAACCCAAAACAAAGAACCCCAAGATCCCCCCCAAAATAATGGAAACTGCAGCGTTGCCACGTTTCACGTAACGGTCTTATTTAAAATGAGAGAAGGGCTGAAGCACTTCTAAGCTCACATTGTGAATTGCTTCCGTGCGATGGCCTGTTATGGGCGCGTTTAGTGTTGGGGAATACACAGAGGGATGAATCTGTAATCACTCAACGCAGGGTGACGCGAGTCTTTGCCTAGGAAAATAAAAATTAGAATAAAAAGAATAAATAAATAAAAAAATTCATTCTGTGATTTTATTTTGAAGGGACTTTTTTAAGTCGTTTTTTTTTTTGTCGGCTCGTCCGTCCATGTTTTCAGCAGCGTGTGCCAGGTTTATTTAATTTATTTTTAATTTGTGCAAAAGCTGCTCCTCATAGTGTTTGTCATATCTGTTAAAGTTACGTCATTTGTGTCTTTTTTTGACTTTTTTGTTTGTGCACGAAAGCTGTTGAGCTTGTTTAAAATGGCTGAAGATTCTGAATTGTTATGCATGTGGTAATACCTCGTGTCCTTAAGGTACACTTTGAGGTTTTTAGCTAATTGAGTGTAAAAGGGAATAGTTCCCTCTCTGGCATCGCTACCAGCTGCCTCTTTTGTTTTTTCATTAAACTTGTTTTTGTGTTGGAATACGGATTCTGTGTCCATACTCTCTCAGGTTCAAACTGCACCATATTTTCATTAAATAAATTTGAGAAGTTGAGAATGTTCCTCGACATTGGAGGGGGGGGGGGGGTTTGCTGGACACTACGAGGGGGGGGGCTTTCATTGGGGCTATTTGCGTGCTTTGCTTCGTCTGCGCTGTAGCCCCGCCCCTAAAGCATCCGCTCTTTATGGTCCGTTTGACTCTACATGAACCATAATTCACTAAATGAGCATCATGCTGTGTTGAAGAAG